CTTTTTTGCTGCTTAGGTGACACTTAGGACTATTGCAGACTTTAGTGATTGAAGAAATGCCTTCTGGTCAGTGGGTGGCAGTGTTACATAGAGGAAGGAGAATAGGTTGTAGTTGGAAGACTTCTGGACAATCCCTGGCCGTGTGACTCACCTTCAGAATCAGTTGGAACTTTCTTTTAAGTATACATTCCCATATCCTACCCTTTGGAGATTTGGTTCAGTCATTCTGGTATGGGACCCCAAAACAGGGATATGTGTGTATGTTTTTTTAACATTCTAGATGATTTTGAGAGTTACCTAAAGTTATGAACTAGTGACTTAATCTCTTTCTGAGTCTCAGCTTTCATAGGATTGCTATGAATGTTAAATGAGAAAATATGTCTAAATTTTATGAACTTTAACTCACAATAAAATATATGCTGTTAATTAGATTACTTCTTGAAATAACTTTTCTATCCCTTTTTAAAAGACTTCAATTTCTTATTGAACATGAGATCATATTATATTTGTTTGATTTTGTGCCTTGCGATAGCAGAGAGAAAAATGATGAATTCTGTCTAAACTAATATGTAAAATATAATATCCACTAGATAATAGTTTTAGATATTAAAGAGATGGTAGAAAGAATAATCTTATTTGAATTATGTATTTATTTTCAAAATCTGAGGAATAAATGCAAATTTTTAAAAGTAGCAAGGACATGTAAACAGAAATTGTTTCTATATATTTTAATACAAAATCCACATTTATTATTAGCACCAATGATTTAACTTACAAATATATTCTGAGTCCCTGGTTTTAAGACCAATAGCTTAAGTTAAACACACCCTTCATCTCTTCCAAAGTCAAAAACAATAAAACAACAAAATAACACCTACAAGCAATAGTAGCAATGGCAATTTGAAAACACATACATTAAGTTAATGGGACTTCAATAGCTCAATACAAACTATATAATAATATGTAGCATAGATGTCAGTTGACCTTGATTCCTACAGTCTGCTGTAATCAGTTTCATAGCCTTTAGTCACAGTTTCTGCGTAACTGGAGTTACCTCGCCTTCTCAGTTCTGAGGGGCTTTCTAATACAGAGCTCCACTGTTTTTTATGACAGTACCACAGTATCTTCTTCCTTCTACGGTCTCCCTGTTTTTGTCTTGCTTCTGCTTCTTCAAATCTGCGCCTGGACAACTTTCATGTTAATCCATTCTGAGTCATTTGTTCTTCTTGGCCTGTCAAGACACCCAAAAAAGGCCAAGTTGTTCACCCAGGGAGCCATATTGGCACATTCCTTCTGCACTTGATACTATCTTTTAATTCCCTTCAACCAGAGACCAGTCACTTTAGGCTATTAGCCTGCAGGCCATTGAGAAGATTTAAGTAAATATCTGATTTGAGGAACCTGGGATAAGAGTCCTTTTCCATAAGAGTATATATGACTTTTTGTGCTTCATCAAAACATGTGGGGGTTGGTGCTTTAATCTTCTTGGCTGTAGATTCTCGAGTGCGGAAGTCAATATTGATCTAAAAAAGAAAACCTTGTTAGTTAATATATACTTCTTATTTATGGCAAATTTTATGATGTTACTGTGTTTTTTGAATCTCCTCAGAAAGTGATTTTAAGGCCTCATTTAAATCAACTCAAATATCTCTTAAATGCCTTTCCAAAGTCAGCTCTATACTAGGTGTGAAGGAGATAAGAAATATTACAAAAATGTCTTTGTTCCAAATTTCCTCATAGTATAGTTGGGAGAGACAAAAGAAGCAGACATGAAAAATTTAAGTATCCACGTAAGATGATCCATATGTCACAAAGAGTGATATGGGCATTTAAGATTTACAGGAGGAGAAGGCTCTTTTTGTTGCTATTTTCTGCTTAGACCACAAATATTTATCTGGTACTACTGTTAATTGGAAATACTTTTGCTGCTGCAATTGTATACATTATGCAAATCTGCATTTTCTTATCCAAAATGAGAGCACTCATTAAGGACTCCCTGACATGCAGTTCTGGTCAGTAACAATACCCTTAACCCTTCCCTCACCCTCATCATGGCAGCTGGTTTTGTAAAATCAGTCTCTTCATTCTACTGTGCTGAAACCTTCACCAATATAGAAAATTAGATTCTCATTGCACTGAACTATATTTATATACCTAAGTATGTAGAAGTAAAATTATATACCCCCAAAAGATTTTATCTTGTTGTATATATTAAATGTTATTTCTGCATGTAGGGTCTTTTATGGAGAAACTGAAGATGATAAGCTTAACACTCACTTGTTTAGCAGCATCTGAATGCACAAATACTTTATATATCTCTTCTGCTTTGCAGGGCAAAAGATCAGACTCTGTTTTCTTATAGTCTTCACAAGCCAGCCAGAACTCAATATTCTCCTCACTGAATTCAGACTTTAGGAAACTTCCAAAGACTTTTTGACCAGCTAAAAAGAAAGGGGGGGCGGGGCGGGTGGGAAGATAATTCATTTAAATAAACCAACAAATGAATACTTTGAAGAAGAAATTTGTAAGAAAAATACAATTGCATTCTATTCATACAAAGGTAAGAGATAGCTACTGCTGAAATAGCTATATTATAGATTGTAGAGATGAGAAGGCATTTGAAATTTCTTCATTCATAGAAGAGGAATCTGGGGCCAGACAAACTCGTTCACAGTCACACTGCTACTTAATGGTGGCTACCGAACTATGTTTTGCTTCTATCTGCTGTTCGAATTGAAATTCTGCTCCCCTGAATATAAAACCATCTTTTATATATGCCAAATCTTAGCCAGAGTAGAGAGTATTTTAGGGAAGCAAATACTGACAAAAGGCATTAACATCACATTAATAATTAGCAAATATAATTTCCCCATCTAATTTATATTAGCCAGAAAATAGGCCTATATATGATCTGTAGGCCTGATGTACTAATTATGTTTGCTAGCGTTTACTGAGACTTTTATATTGTACCATTTATGATCCATATCTATACCATTTATTTGTTTAGCTGAATTATAAACAAAGTCAGCTGAGCTAGAGTGAACAAGGTGATTCCCAAGTAAAGCTCCTTAGGGTGTCTGTGGGGAGGAAAGAATAATCTCACTCTTTAGAGATAGAGACCACACTGCTCATCTGCACCTCTGAAAAAGGTCCTAATCTGAGTAGAATTGTTATGCCCAAGACAAGGGGAAGGCAAGCTGATTTCATTCTTTACCTTCTCTCATCTGAAAATCTCCACAAGACTATTTGTGCTTAAAAATCCTTCTATCATGTTTATGTCAAAACAACTATCATGTTATAATAATGCAATTATTTATGTTATGTATCTCAACCACCTTCAAGGCAGTAAGAGACTATCTTTGATTTTGAATCCTTGGTACCTCTACAATGTCCTCTACATAAGAGTGAGATGAATGATGAATGTATGAAAGATAATTTAATTAATTGAATGAATGAATCATACTTGTTACATCTAAGTGTAGAAAAATACGTTCTTTAGGCAGATTTCAAAATGGCAATGTACATGTTAAAATATTTAGCTTACTTTTAAAAACTTTACATATCAGGATCCCAGTACAGTGTTTAATTTTATCTCCATAATGATCTATGAAAATACCTAATTTTCTTGGCAAATTTGTCTAAAAGGATTTGGCACAATTGAGTGCGAAGTCAGCATTATTAAGAGGCATACTATGCTGAAGTTATCAGTAACTACAGACAAACTAGAATACAACTTTTTGCATACTATCCTACCCAGAATACTATATTTAGTGAAGCCATTCCATTTTTTAGAGTATTGCACTGAACCCGGAAACATTCAATAGTTATACTTACTTTGGTTGGCAAGAAGTTTTTCCAGAGACAGAGACCATTGCATTACTTCAGCAGCAGAAAGTCTGCAGGGGACAAAAATGTACGTACATTAGTCGTTTTTAAAAATGTAAGCACACATGAAATAAGAATGACTGTTACACTTTGATAACTTTACAAACTAAAACTGTAGTTCTAATAATTATGTTAAAATTTATTCACAAAATGCAAAACACCCCTTAGAGTTACTATAGTTATGAAAAAAAACCTACCAATAAAGTTTGAAAAAAATCCAAATAGATAAAGTCCCATATGTGTGTGCACACATTTGTATTCAATTTACATTGGTACTGATACAGTCTCACTTTATTTGGCATGTTACTTAAAAAAAATGAAGTCTACTGTGTGCAGTATTTATCCCTTCCTGGGATATAGAGATGATGCATAGGCGTCTCTTGAAAATGATAATGATAGTTTAGTGTATTAGTGTACTTACATGTCCTTGGTCTTGGAAGATTTCATTCCAGATTCCAGATGTGGGATCATAGATCTCAGGTATGCTTTCATATCCATTCCACTGCAAAAGACATAAAAGTGAATATTCATGTTTCTTCAGAATTCATTTTATTTGTAAAACGACATAGAATAAATTTAAGGAATAAAACAATACTAAAAATGGTTGATATAACATTTTGCTATATTCGAATAGAGCTCATTTTTATGAGTCCATGTACAGAAAAGCTCCTACCCAATTTAATGCCATATCAAGATTTATTTTTTTAATACAGCTGAATATTACTTACTACTCACAACAGACAATTAACTGCTCTGATCTGGCTAAACTAAATGCTCACATTCTCTTCCATTCATTCTCAATCCTTCTGCCATTAAAGATAACCTGTTAAAATTCACAAAGTGAGATTCTGAACAAACTTACAAAGTCTTTGGCCTCCTTTTTTGCATTTTGTCGTCTAGAAGTGAATGAGCGGTTCCTTTCAATTCCTTTGGATTAGCAGAGAAGAACATTCCTGGCATTTTGTCTAACTTTGGAGTGGAGATGGCTGCTGCGCGCATGGTGCTCTGAGCAAATATGCGCGCGTCAACGTCTCTGCTGCTTTATATAGTAGAACACAGACAGGCACTTGCTGTTTGAAGGAGTGTGTTTATCAAGTGATGTTACCACAGACACTGGAAGTTCCCCCTTTCTTGGTGTGCTGTGACGTGTATCTTGAAAAAAAAAAAAAGCATACAGTGATGTCTTGTGGTTGAAACTTAACCAAACGAGAACAGGTCACTTGATTAGAAAGAAAGGAAATTAAACATACAGAGGTACACACACATATGTCACATGTCTAAAGCATTAACAGCATCAGTCTTTGGTTCTGGAGGATATTTGTTTATTTTAAAAGTTGCATGTTTCAATAAACTGTTTCATTTGGTGTATTAATTTATCACATAGAAACTCACATAGAAATTCATCACATAGAGTTGTATCTTACTCGATGCTTTGGATAGTCCTTGACTATAAAATTCATCTGATCAAAATATTTTAAGAGTTCTTTTTTTTTCCCGCAGGAAGCAGTGCAAAGTAAACGAATAATTTTTGTTTAATTATTTTTGCACATACCTGATAGGAGGGAAAGTTGTAGAGGCTATCTTCATGTTTTCCCACTCCAATTCTCATCCCTTATTTCCATGGCAGGAAATTTCCATGTTAGTATTTTCCAAGGTGTGTGCTAGACATCGACTGGCAATACATAAGGTGCTTTTAAGGGGTATATGGCTTTTAATATTATTTTCATGTTGAGAATATAACTAGTATATCAAACTTTGATTTTTGCATATTTTACATATTAGGAAAAAAATAAAGTTTAATTAAAACACATCACAAATAAATAAATGTTTAATTGTATACAAATATGACATAATTTGTAAACATACTGATACTAAGTTTGCAGTATCAGAGGAAAAACTGCTCAAGGTAAAATAAAAGTCTATTTGGATAGACCAATGATATGTACTTCTTAGGTAATGATCTTTCACATTTTGACAGTACCTCTGGAGATAACAGTTTTAGCTTTAATAGAGATTAAAGTTTAAAAGATAAACAAAACTAAAGGAACTAGATGACTAATCACATATAAGGATAGAGAAGTTAGTAAATATAAGCTTTCCAGAGTTTATATAATGAGTGTGGCTTATTTCTTAAGAGTACCTTAAGCCTCTTTGGATTTTACCCCTGAAAGGACAACACTTTGCTTTGAAAGGACAAAAGAGCCTTTACTTAAAGAAGCTTCTGATGGTATCACATAACGCTGATAAAAGAGAGGGGAGTATTAACTTTTCTATTCTGGTTCTATCATCAGGATAAAGAATATTTGAAGAAAACACATTTACAGTATTATAAAATTCACTTATACACAGTCATTAACTTCACTATAATGAGCTCATTATATCTTATGTAAGAAGCATCATTTTATGTTGGGAAGAAAACATGAGGCATTAAGAAAGATAACTAGTGAGATGAGCTGGCCACTTTGGAAGTGACCCGAATGAAACCGGCGAAGCTCAAAGACTGATGACATAAAGGCATTTGTTTGTATACTTCCTGTGGTTCAGTCCATACTTAATTTCCTGTTAAAATCTTCAACGTTGCTCATGTTTGTTGATCTAGTATCCTCTCACTCCTCTAGATAATTGTGAGTAAATTATGTTAGAGTAAAATGATTTAAAAATTATTTTTGACAGTCCAGTATTATTATCACCCAAATATACTGACAGTTTCCAAAGAACAAGAGCAGCAGCAAAAGTTATGGGGCCAAGTAAGTTTGGGAAATGTTGGGCTCCTGACTTGTTAAAGAACTAAATCCTCTTTAGATAGGGAAAATAGGTTTTTGAAATAATGTTTTTTTGACACCATGTTAAGAAACTCTGGTCTGAGATCAAAATAAGTTTTGCCTGTAGCATATTTAGGAACTGCTTTGATGCTCCCAACATTTTGCTACCCCTACCCCAATACAGATTTTGAAGCGCAAGCATTTACAAGTGCATGCTTCCACACTTGAATAGAAATATAAACTCTTGAAAGAGGGAGTCCTTTCAAAATTCCTGTATGACAATTGGCTGATAAGGTCACCTTAGTCATGCAGTAATGCAGCTGCTTTCTCAGAGGCTGTTTGCTAATCCATGCAAAGTCTGTATGTTCCAGAACAAGGCAAATTTGGTCAAGTTGTATCAACAAGCTCTGACGAGCTCATGGCAAGGCGTTGAAAGTTCCCTATTAATTTTAAAGAGAGTGCCACTATCTGGCCCCTGTTTGTAAAATTCACTAAGAAAAGATAAACTGTCAAATCGTAACTTTATTGAATCAATGACTTTGGTTGAAATAGTAGAGGATGTCAAAAACGTCAGTAGAAGAAACAGTGGGTCTCACAAACAATCTGGGTTTCAGTTTTCCCTCTTTGAAACTGTGCTAAAACGTCTAGGTTGGAGTTTCTAGGAAAAAGAATACTTCATGTAGTCTTAGTGTTATCTTTTTTTAAAAAAATAAAAATTAATAGACTTCATTTTTAGGGAAGTTTTAGATTTACGGTAAAATTGAGTGGAAAGTACAGAGTTCCCACATACTCCCCACCTTTCACCTTGCCTCCAGCTCCACCACCAGCACCATCCCTCATTAGTGGGAAATATTTGTTACAACTGATGAACCTACAGCGACACAGCATTATCATCTAAAATCTATAGGTTACATTAGAGTTCACTCTTGATGCTGTACATTCCATGAGTTTGACAAATGTATCATGATATTGTATCCATCATTATAGTACCATATAAAATACTTTTCCTTCCCTAAAAATCCCAGTACTATATTTTAAAATACCTAGGAGATTGGTTCAGTAAGATATTTCAGATTATGGCTATTGATATTGATAGGAAAAATAAGGAAAATTTTAATCTTTGCTGAACTGATTTGAATTGAAACATTTGGTTTCAATTACTCCAATTACTGGAATACTAATAGGGAATGCTTTGCTTAAGCCTGATGTTTTTCGAACTTTTAAAATGTTGCTAAAATCTTGTTGTGGATATTAGAATTGCGAGACAAGGGGTAATGATGAATATAATATTCTACTTTAAAATAAAAATGTATTTATACTGGAAAAGTCAGTGACGTGGAAAGATAGCTTGATCCATTGAAACAAAATGTTTTGATTCAGCAAACTTTAATTGCATCCCTACAGTGTATCACACATAAGGTACTGCAGATACAAAGATGAATGAATCTCTGTCTTAAGGGGTCCACTGTGTAGTAGGGCTGACAAATATTTGTGAAAGGTGCCATCAGAGAGGAATGTACAGAGGAAAGAACACAGAGGAGTAATTAGCTCTGGAAGTATGGGAAGGGAAGTCAAGTACTGCTGTCTTTACTATAAAATCAACATGTATCTATTCTTTGCTTGTTTCTGCATTTATATTTAGTATCCCTTGGAAAGTTCAAATGGCTGCAATGGAGAAACTGGTCTCTAGCAAGAGACCAGTTTTATGTTGAAGGATCATGGAAAAATGGATCCCATATGTACTCACAAAGCTTTGCAAACGTTCACAAGGACACTGAATGACTTTGTTGAATTAGCATAACCACTCAGAGCTTTATGTCTTCAAGATTTATAGGTAAGGGTACTAAAAGTGTTTCAGCTAAATTTCATAGAGTTTATTTGAAAATTTGAAAAAGTTGCAACAAAAGTGAGTTTAGAAGGATTTTTCTCTATGCGTGTATAGAGGGTTGGTGAAAACTTTATATCATGTATGAATGAAAAGATTAAACATTTTAGACTTGCTTATGATTTTGTTATGAAAAAATATGATGGGTTTTAATAAGAGCAAATATCTGAAACACACTGAACTTCAATGATCTCAGTAAGTGCAACTGAGCAAGATAAGAATCTAGTTTCTTTTTCTCACTCTGCTTTAATCTTTCAGTCAACATTGACTGCCTCCTTTCTATAATATGAGAATTTACAAGAAAATAGAATGTGGGACCTTCAGTGAACTGAGCTTATGTGATTCAATAACCTCATTCACCCTAAATCTAATTTTACCAGTTAAGTTCTCAATAATAGGCCCATGTTCCAAGACATTCTTGAAAGCACTGAGGAAATCTTTGGATAATATTATCTCTGGTATATTTATTCCACATTGGATTTATTTTCATTTAATGTCACACTATCACTTATAATCCTTTCAACAAGAGAGAGTAGTTATGTCTGACTCTAGACCATGCTTTGCAAATAAAATTTCCTAAGTACGGAAGCAGGTGCCTTATTCCCAAACCCAAAATAAATGGAGAACTATGTTAAATGAACACTGACACATTATTTGGAGTGGGGACAGAATGTTCTATTATATAACAATGACATAAATGCAGAAAAATAATGGAAGTCCTCAAATATCTGCAGGTAGAGGATTTGTAATGGAAGGTGATAATAGTTTGGATCTATGTTCTCTCTAAATTTCATGTTGAATTGTAATTCCCAATGTTTGAGAAGGGGCCTGGTGGGAGGTGATTGGATCCTGGGGGAGAATCCCTCATAGCTTGGTGCTGTCTTCACAATGGTGAGTAAGTTCCCTCGAGATCTGATTGTTTAAAAGAGTGTGGCCCCTGTCCCCCACAATTATCTCTCTTGCTCCCATTCCTGCCATGTGAGACACCTGTTCCCCCTTCATCTTCTGCCATGATTGGAAACTTCCTGAGTCCTCCCCAGAAGCAGATGCTAGCTCTATGCTTCCTGTACAAGCTACAGAACCATGAGCCAATGAAACCACTTTTCTTTACATAAATTACTTAGTCTTAGGTATTTCTTTATAGCAATGCAAGAATGGCCTAGTACAGAAAATTGGTACTGAGGAGGGGGGAACTGCTATAAAGTTACTTGAAAATGTGGAAGCAGCTTTGGAACTGGGTAACAAGTAGAGGTTGGAAGAGTATGGAGAGCTCAGAAGAAGACAAGAAGATGATGGAAAGTTTGGAATTTATTAGAGACTGGTTAAATGGTCATGATCAAAATGCTGATAGTGATATAGACAATAAAGTCCAGGCTGAGGAGGTCTCACATGGCAATGAGGATCTTATTGGGAACTGGAGTGAAGGTCATGCATGTTACGCCTTAGCAAAGAGCCTGGTTGCAGTGTGCCCCTGCCCTAGGGACCTGTGGTAGTTTGAACTTCAGATTGATGATTTAGAGTATCTGGCAGAAGAAATTTCGAAGCAGCAAAGTGTTCAAGATGGGACCTGGCTGCTTCTAACAACCTACACTTATATGTAAAAGCAAAGAAATGACTTAAAGTTGGAAGTTCTATTTAAAAGGGAAGCAGAGAAAAAAAGGTTGGAAAATTTCCAGCCTAGCCATGTGACAGAGAATGAAAAAGCTTTTGGGGGAGAGGAATTCAAGCAGGCTGTGGAGCAACCACTTACTAGAGATACTTGGAAAAGGGAGCCAAGTGCTAATATCCCAGACAATGAGAGAAAGGCCTCAAAGGCATTTCGAGGCCTTCAGGGCAGTCCCTCCCATCACAGGCCTAGAGGCCTAGGAGAATGGTTTTGTGAGCTTGGCCCAGGGCTCCACTGCTAGGTACAACCTCAGGACACTGCTCTCTGCATCCTGGTAGCTCTGGCTCCAGTCTCAGCTCAAAGGGTCTCAGATACAGCTGGGGCTGCTGCCTCAGAAGATGCAAACTATAAAACTTGGCAGCTTCCATGTGTTGTTAAGCTTGTAGGTACACAGAGTGCAAGAGTGAATGAGGCTTGGCAGCCTCCACCTAGATTTCAGAGGATGTTCAAGAAAGCCTGAGTAGCCAGGCAGAAGCCTGCTTCAGGGGCAAAGTCCTCACAGAGAACCTCTACTAGGGCAATGTGGAGAGAAAATGTGGCTTTGGAGCCCCCACACAGAGTCACCACTGGGGCACTGACTGGTGGAGCTGTGAGGAGGGGTCCACCATCCTCCAGATCCCAGAATGGTAGAGCCACTGGCAGCTTGTACCTTGTGCCTGGAAAAGCCAGAGGCTCTCAGTTCCAACGTTTGTACAGTGCAGCTACTTGGACTGCACCATACAAATCCACAGGGCATTGGGAGTCTACCCCCTGCTCCATTGAGCCTTCCGTGTGGGACATGGAGTCAAAGGAGATAATTTTGGAGCTTTAAGATTGAAAGACTGCCCTGCTGGATTCTAGACTTTCATGGAGTATGTAGCTCCCTTTTTTTTTGGGCTGATTTTTCCCTTTTGGAATGAGAATTTTTACCTAATGCTCGTACCCCCATTGTGTCTTAGAAGTAAGTAACTTATTTTTTATTTTATAGGCTCATAGGGAGAAGGGACTTGCCTTGTCTCGGATGAGACTTTGGACTTTGAATTTCTGAGTTAATGCTGAAATGAGTTAAGACTTTGGGGGACTGTTGGGAAGGCATGATTGTATTTTGCAATGTGAGAAGAAACTGAGGTTTGAGGGGCAAGGGGCAGAATTGATATAGTTTGGATATGTGTCCCCTCTAAATCTCTTGTTGAATTGTAATCTCCAATGTTGGAGGTGGGACCTGGTAGGAGGTGATTGGCTCATGGGAGAGAATCTTCATGATGGTGAGTGAGTTCTCTCAAGATCTGGTTGTTTAAAAGATTGCAGCACCTCCCTCCCCACAACTCTCTCTCTCTTGCCCTCCTCCCACCATGGGAGACACATGCTCCCCCTTCACCTCCTGCCATGACTGGAAGCTTCCTGAGGCCTACCCAGAAGCAGATGCCAGTGCTATCCTTCCTGGATAGCCTGCAGAACCATGAGCCAATTAAGTTTCTTTTTTAAAAATTAAATTACTCAGTACCAGGTATTTCTTTATAGCAATGCAAGAATGGCCTAATACAGAGGCATATTTTAAATGTTAGAGAGCAACTTCAATAAATGACTGTTAACTTTCCAAGTTTCTAATAACAGTATTCCAGTGATTTCATTTTTGCTCTTACAAAACACTGAGGTGGCTAACAATGGAGACTTATTTGTTTTGCTTTTCCTCATTAATTATATAAATTTCTTAGAAAAATCTCTTAAGGTTTCCTGACATGTCTGTTCTTCCCAAAACCATGCCAGTTATTGCTCACAAATACATTAACTCCACTTTCTTCATGTCCTTTCTAATGCTTTGTTTTTATGTCCATTTACATATATGTATATATATAAAGTATATATATTTATATAATATGTGTATATAACATATATACCTATACATTTTATTATTATTATTTTACTAAATATTGGTGTCAGACTTGCTGGACATTTGTTTCTAGTAATAATCTTCCTACTTGAGAAAGTAGCTTTAAGTCAACAGATAGTGGCCATGCTTAGCAGTATTCTACTATTATTGTGAGTATAAGTGGTCTGCAGTGTTCCACTGCTTTCTGTGCCTGTTCTGTATTTTTTATTAACCTTTATCTGCCATCTTATTTTTCTTCTGTTTTAAAAAATAAATGAAAGGCTTCGAGTCTGTTGAATCCCAGTGACATGTTCATCTTGCTGCTTAGAAATCTCACATTTCAAAGGACTGTGAGTCAATTCTCACAGCGATACCTTTTCCTGCTGTGTGAGTTTGATCAAATCAACTAACTTTTTTCAGTTTTCTTTGTGTAGAATTCAAAGGCGATCATCAGCAACTTGCAGCTATGGTAGTGGCATGGGAAGGTCTCCTTTTGAAATTCTACACTGATCAAAACTAGTCCCAGAGAAATTAAAATTTAGACAGAATTTGTCATAGCTAGGATGTTTTCCATTTTTCTTATGATGTTAGAGCTCTTTGCCTAGACTTCTTCCTAAAATTTAGTAAATTTGGCAATCCATCTATTCCAAATGTGGGGCCCCTCCTACCACTGCAACTCTGTATTCACTGGGCCAATCTTCCAGATTGCTTCTTTCCCTATCAATATTTACTCGTCTTGGATTTCCTTTTTTATTTAGTTAGTTGATTTCTGTAAATTCCAACCCCAATTTAATTTTCCTGCTTTTTCTTAGGTGCTCATAGCTGGATATCGATCCTCCCAACTGCAGATCTCATCCAGCTCCCTCCTGTTGAGGAGGCACATTGAGTTGTCTGTTGTTTTAGATAGGATTTTCATAGTTGAAAGTGTCAGCAGCCCCATATTGACTATTAAGTAGCTTAGGTAAATAGGAAGATAACTGGAATACCCTCGGGTACCTTAAGTAATAAAAGGAAAGGTTGAACAACTAACCCCTCAAAGATCAGCTAAGACCGAACTAGGGGTAGGGGACTTAGAATGCTTGTAAATTGTGAATTTGCTGTAGACCAGAGTCAGCTACAAATTGTGGAAACGTGACTATTAGCAACTTGTGAAGCTTGTATTTTGCACTTCTAAAGGCAGCAGAATCCTGAAGTGTAAACAATTTCTTCTTATCCATGTTTTTTCCTCCTATGTGTTTTGTCTTGCCTATTTTTTTATTGTGTTATGAAAACAGAAAACAAGGGCAATATATTTGGTAGGAACTCAAAGATAGAACAAACTCATAATCTTGTTTTATGTTTTGTTTCAGATGCAATGGAAGATCAGAAAGTATACATTTATGAACTGTCATAAACTGAAGATCGGGTAACTTTTGTCTTCTCTTTGTAGTTAGTCACTGCAACGTTTTAAGTTCTACTTCATCTTAATTTGATGTTTTTTATTTGTGACTTTGTGGCTCATCCCCTTATTGATTCTCTTAAGACCAGGCTCTTAGTTGCAACAGGAAGATCTTAAAGTACCAAAAACAGTGTATAGAAATATTAAGAGGCCTGGTTTGTGTGGGAGTTTGTTCCGTTTTTCTAGCCTAGAGTTTCTTTTCTCACATTTTGCTTAGGCAAGGTTGAGGCATCTCTGTTGCCCCATGTGAAAGAGTGAGCAGTTCAGACAAAGTGTGGCGATTAGTAATGCTTGCACTAAATGAGGGCAGGAGGTTGATGTGTGCACAAAAGCGGGGAAGTGAGGACAGAATGGGATAAGGTTGGGAAATGTCATGGTGGGGCTGAGAATGTCCAGGACAATCTCTGAAACTGATCTGTCCCTCTCCTGACTTCATTGTTCACTGTAGAACAGCCGTTGGTTGAGTCTCAACAAGACTGAAACCACTTCAGAATAAAGCAGTTGTGTCAGGAATTATGTGACCCTCTTTAATCCTGGAAATCACATTCTTTAACCTTTTAGATGGTCACATTTCATAATTTATCTTTCATATTTTTAGATGAATCATTATATACCATTCATGGAAAATTAAAAGCTGCTGAGAAGACCTAAAAATTATCAGTCCATTAGGATTTTCCCCCTTTATACAGAATTTCCCCTGATTTGGGGCAGTTTCCAAGACAGTAGAATAATACCAAAGAAAATGTCACGATTTCACTTCTCTTTTATGAGAAAATTTGTGTATTTTACACAAAAGACCACTTTGGAAGTAATCATGAAACAGATTTGAAACATTGAGTCTTTCTTTCTCTTTGTCTCTCTCTCTGCCTTTTTCTCTCTCTCTTCTTTTGGCAGAAACCATACCCACACTCAAATAAAATATCAGTTGATCTAGAGTAGGAAGGCCTGGGAAGCTGTGGATAGCTCTAAAACCATTTGATTGCACAACTGCTATGAGATGAGGGTATGACAAAGGTGTTTGTAATCTCATAGAAAGTTGAATAAAAGTACCCATGATTACACCAAATTAAAGTCTATTTTAGCCATGCCTAATCCAATACGACACTTGATATTAACCAATGATTAAAACTATGCCCAGCACTATATAGTAAGGAGGACATTATCCAGGTTTTTTTCTTTCTCAGAAACACTGTTCAGCCTCCTCTTTCTACTTCTTTAATATGCCTTTTCTGCCAAAACCCTTGTATTTTTCTACCTGAACTATTTTTCTTCTTTCCCCTTCCTTCCTTCCCTCCCCTTCCTTCCCTCTCTCCCTTTCTTCCTTCTTTCCCTCCTTCCCTTCTTCCCTCCTTCCTTCCTTCTTTCCTCTTTCTCCCTCCCTCCTTCCTCTTCCTCCTTCCTTCCTTCCCCCTCCCCTCCCTCCCTCCCTTCCTTCCTTCCTTCCTTCCCCTCCCTTTCCTTCCTTCCTTCCTTCCTTCCTTCCTTCCTTCCTTCCTTCCTTC